GTAGCCATCCATTCATAACTTGTTTTTAATGCATTCATGAAGTTAAAGGTGGGGTAGGTAAGTTTCAGAAACCGGCTCGAGTGCACTAGAATTTGAAAGTACACAGCCGAAAAGAATCCGCCCCTTCCTTCAGACTTCCTTACAGAGCACCTTCTCCAACACACATGAACGCCCAATGCACGCCCAATGACGGCACGCCCAATGAGGGCACGAGATACATTTGTGCGTGCACGAGATGGAAGGCTGACAGACAGGGCGGCAATCCAATGGTTGTACTTTTTACAGTATTACGGCTTCCACAGATGACATTTTTTTAATAGATTTTTTGTCAAAGCACTTCAGATATTCATTGCTATCGGGATGTTAAGAGCATTCCATGGAATATAACAAAAAGTGTATCTCGAGCCGGTTTCTCAAACTTACCCCACCTTTAATGCTGGAGCGATACATGTTTGCGTGGCTTTGCATGTACACAGACTAGAGTGAGAAGTCATTAAAGAAATATGCTGATGTCTTGGGTGGGACAGCATAGAAGATCAACAGAAATGGACTGATCTTACAGTAAGTCACCATTTAGCTTCATTCAATTTAAGAACACCTCATCAAGGACTGGCTTACCTAAAGCCAGTTGAGTAGCACTTGAAATGTTTGGCTCTATGAAACCTGATGTACTTATATGATTCTGTTTTCTTCAAGGTTGTGTCTTCCTGGTCGAATGTACTTCTTATACTTATTGTCGCTTTGGATAAAAGCGTCAGCTAAATGCAATGTAATGTAATGTAATGTAATCCTGAACAAACCCTCTCTTTGTTGATGTCTCACCTTCTCTCTCTGTTTCCTGACCTGACACTCATGTGGCCACAAAGCTCATGGACGCACACATAATTCCTGTCCACCACACACTCACCTATTTACTCCTGTTTTTCTGTATCAATGTCAGCCCCCCTTGTTTCTTTTATTTTGCCGTAAATTCCATAAAACCCCGACAGCAGAACAAGGTCTCAAGAACTTATAGGTTAGCCAGACGGGCAATAACTAAAGGAAAGCTGCCTGAAATGAGGTTCTACCTCCAAAAGGGCTGACTGGTTATGAGAGGATAAAAGAATCCTCTTATGTCGGTAAACTCATTACGCCGCCGCTGCCAAGCCAAGCTAGCCCCAGCGTTTCCATGGCAGCTGGTGTTATCTGTGTGTATTTTTGTTGGGACTTGTAGTTTTGGGGTTTGAGTGTCAAAATGAGATTTCTTTTTTTTTAACACCATGAGGTGCAGAGGGGAGAGATAAGAGAGAGTCCCCTCTCAGCGTTAACGAGAGAAAGTAAGAGAGAGAGAGCATTAGCTGCACAGATAGAGAAATGAATGGTCCACACAGCAGTACTGCTCCACCTTTAGCTGCCTTTTACAGACAGTCTGTGCATCTGTGTCCTTCCCATGTAGCATGTGGTTAACTTAGTGGCATTTTTTAAAGATCTACCGCTATATAACAATATCAAAAGCAGTTTGCATTCTTTGCTCAATGTGGCAAAAAACTTCACACACACAATCGAGAAAAATGTGTTAAAGGATGGGTTTGTTTTGGTAAAATAAACTTCTTTACAGTTTCCCAAAACCTGAACTCAAACCTCAGAAAGTATCTTAATTAATGCAGTTTAAAGAAAATGTTGAATCGGAAATGTGCCTCAGCTAACCCAGTTACTGTTCGTATAAGATAAGATAAGATAGTACTTTATTGATCCCAATTTGGGAAATGTTTGCGTTGCAGCAGCATAAAAAGACATGGTATTGTACAATAACAATTCAAAGACTAGAAATAAACAAGAAAGTGCCAAATATACATGTTGAATTTAACAAGGTATTATATATACATAAATATATGACAGATGGAATATGAAATATTGAACAGATTATATAAATGTACAATGTGGTTTTATTCCAAGAGAAACTATGGAGCAGATGACGATGATATGGGATCTAAGAAATGCTAGACTTATCTTCCCATTATTATAACTGTAGCATATAGAACATCAAAAAGATAGATAAAGTCAAGCTAACTACAAGTGACTATTGGTAAAATTGTTGAACTCAAAAGAGAATCTACTTAAAACCACATTTTGTTGTCATGTTTTGACAGTAACATACTTCACTATATTTTATTTAACCTGTATTCAACCAGATAAAAAGCATTGAGATCAAATCTCATTTACAATGCTGACCTGGCCAAGAAGGCAGCGACGTTACACATAACACAGACATATAAAATACAGAGAACACAACTAAGTAAACAACAAAAAGCAGTCACTACATTGTGCACATTTGGGACAGTATAAGAAAGGTACTACTTATTACTGCAAGAGCAGCTGGTGGTAAGGACCTCAGACAACTTCAATTTAAAACAGGCTATAGTGTCGTCAGTTTAAGGCGTGATTGAAGGTCATTCCAAGACCAAGGAACATAATGAAAAAGACTCCTTTTTCCCAGCCTCAGTCCGCACGGCAGGAACCTGGAACCGTGTCCAGGCACTGGATCTGAGGTTGTAAGAGTCACAAACTGGGGCAAATCTGGCACATATATACAGTGGAAGCTTACCTAAAATGGCTTTATACATTAATAAAAACCAATGCTGCATCCTACGCATAGTAAGTGAGGACCATCCAGTTAGGCTATACAGTTTGCAAAGATGAGTCCTATAGGGTGCATTTGATATAACGCAGTGCAGCATGGTAGAGTGGGTCAAGTTTGGCCAAAACAGTGGGACAGGCAAATCTATAGATTGTATCACCGCAGTCCAGCTGGGACAGGAATAAGCCAGAGACCAACCTTTTACGGGAAGAAGTTGAAAAACAACATTTAAGTCTGTAAAGGAAGCCAAGAGTGCATTTCAATTTCTTTGTTAAAACTTCAATATGGTGTTTGAAGTTCAGATTTCTGTCCAACCAAAAGCCCAAATATTTGTATGTATGGACAAACTCTACGAAGACGCCATCAAGGGTGTCAATGGAAAGGCAAGAGGACGCTGACTTGGGAGCAAAGAGCATTGCTTTCGTTTTCTCACTGTTCAATAGCAGTTTCGAATCAATAAGCGCATGCTGTAGCATGATAAAATCAGTTTTTAAATTGGAAATGGCCATATCCAGAGAAGGAGCACATGAGTATACAATAGTGTCATAATAAAAAGAGCAAGGGCCCCAAAATAGAGCCCTGTGGAACTCCCTATATACACTATTGTGTTTCTGTGTTTTACTGGAGAAAATATGTATTTCTTAAAATGTCTACTGATAATTGTAACACTTCAAGAATTTGTACAAGAAGTAGTCGCAGTAGTTTGAGTTAAAGTACAATGATTAATAGCAGCAATAGTTTACTTTACTGGGATCCTCGTAAACAGTAGTATGAGCATTGGCTATTCTACCTGGGGTCTGTAATGCTTTAACAAATGTAGTTGTGGTAATTCATGCAGTAGCATCGGTTATTCAGTAATATTCTGTACAACATGTTATACTTATAAAGCAGCAGTTGTAATACCAGTTGTAATTGATTTGGTATTGATTCCACAGTAGGAAATTCTTCCCTATCACTGAAACATCATAAGCTGTTCAATACTCTCCTACCACTCACACAGTCAGATCAAAATACGTCATCCACATTCAATAACAAACCATCAATAAACCCCACTGAGAAACCCCACAGAAGAAGCTAAAGCCCCCAGGAACAGAAGTTAACAGACTGTAGAATAAAATGTGTAATAAGGACGGAGGGAGCTGTGTTCATTAGCTGATGTGAGGAATGCTGCTTGCTTTGTCTCAGCTGTCAGCTCCAAAGTGTGTGTCCGTCACCGCTCACCTGTGGCGTGTGAATGAAGCTGCAAACATGGCTGCCGTGACCTCGTGTCAGTGTCAGTCTGAGTTCATGTGCATGTCTGTCTGCCTTTCTGTAAACTTGTTTTTAAGTCAAAATGTGCAGTCTTACCTGTAGAGTAACACCTACTGTCATTATATCGCACTAGTTATACAGGTTCAGGAAGTGCTGCTTCAAAATATGCAAAAAGGTGTTATGTTGAAACACTGTAAGGAAAGCACTAAAATACTACTGTGTCACTCAAAAATGTGTTCAAAGGGAACAAAAGGATAATCATGGATCAACTTATCTCTCTTTTCTTTCATTAATACAATCTGATAACTTGTGTTCCCATTACCAATACTGTTGTACGTAATTACTAGAGTTGAATCCTAGGAGAAAGTATTCTATGTATTGATTTCTACACCTTATCAGCACTATACAGAAGCAAAACATCAATCTAAAGTATGCACAATATAGGATACTCTCATCAAATGTATATGAGAAACAAATCTAAAGCTTACTGAACTTCTGTCAATTACATTATTGTAACAGGTTAAAGTGCAACGTTACTATGTCTCGAACACTGTTAACTAGTCCTGTTCACATTTACAGGCTTTTGAAACTGTGAAGCTGCAGCATTTATTTATTTCCAGGCTTAAGTAACACTGGATTTCACTTGTATCTGGCCATTTTCCCACAGAAGTATTGCAACCATGTGACATTTTACTTCATCTACTCTCATTCACTTATGTCACATGAAGGGTAGAGCAGCATGTGTGCAGGTTTCGTCATGTTTCACCTTTTTATATGTCGGTTTTAATGTGAGTAAATATTCAGCACTGATGATTACAAACCTTTGTGTTAACATCTGGTCATTTGAGGATCTTTTCAACCTTCACCGTTAACACGTGTTCTCTCAGGGAGATCGGTGCTTTGTCGTCTCTTATATTCATTGTACTACCTCCTATAGAAAATGGCAGATTTTGCCAGGTAGAAGCCGCCAGTCATCCGTCTGTGCATGTGTGCCTTCATGCATACTTTGTTTGACCCTTAGGCCTATTTATGTCAATCTATTATGTTGCCTCGTCAAGATATGCATCTGTGGTTGTGGTTGGCTCTTTCTTCTTCTTTCATCTGTTCTGTTTCTCACCGTCCCTCCCTGCAGACTCGGGTTACACTCCTCCATCAGATGGCGTTTTGCCTGGCTGAGCTGCACTTGTGGTCCACCAAGAGCTCACTCCAAGTCAAAGGTAGCACTTATCAGCATGTTCAATCTGTCTCCATCGTCCTCTCTCTGTCTTTCTCTCCTCTCTCCGTCTTGCTCTTGCTCTCTCTGTCATCACTCACTTTGTTTTCACACCTTCTCCCCACCTCACCTATATCTACTCTATCAATCTAACTCTCAGTCAACACCAATTCTCACTCTGTCTTTTTCCACTTTCTCTTTGCTCTCTAGAAAAATTGTTCTGTGTGTGTTGCATTAAACATGACATTCTTTATGTTGTTTTTACCACATTAAGCTGAAGTTGTATGTTGTTTAAAGTGATTGGTTAGCATAACCACAAGCAACTAGTTAGGGTTAGCCTCTAACCTAACCCTAACAACGAGACCACACACGTGGACTAATGTTGACAAAGGCATGCAACCGTTCCACACCTGTTGACAAGGAAACAATAAACATGTGTTCAACTTGTGTAGCAATGAGTGCTGCAGGGGAGCATGTTTGGATCAAGTATAAAACTATCATTAGCAAAAAAAAACTAAACATTAAGATTACAAGCTAATCTTTAATTAAAATCTGATTTATTGGCAAATGTTTTTCTGTACTCTCGATGTACTCAAACAGTAATAAACATACAACTAAAAGCAAGGACATCAGAGCTTAAAGGGGACCTATCATGCCAAATTCACTTTTGTACGTCTTTCATATATGAATATGTGTCCCCGGTGTGTCAGGGAACTCACCAAGTGTCAGAAAACACAACCCTCTCTCTTTTCCTCCATACCCAAATCTCTAAAAACGGGGCTGCAACGGATCTGATACAGATTTGAAATATCTCTGACGTCAGAAACGAGGAGCTCCGCCTATATGGGCAACTCTCCACCTATCAGGAGGAGACAGCCACGGCCATTGCTGTTCGAAATCGCTGGAGACGCTGTAGTACATATGCCAGGCCTGTAGGTCTCACAGAATCAGCCCTTGCAAAAACAGGGCTGGAAAAGAGCAAATAGAGCGAAATGAGGCATGGCTAAAATGCATGATCTGTTTGGTATTTTGAAAAAAAAACGTTGCAGACATGTTTTATATAGGTATGGCCCTACAATATATATTTCAAATATAGCATGATAGGTCCACTTTAACGTAAGAAACTTAAAGCCAAAAGCAGAGATAATGTGCGCTACAGATTTTAATTTTAATTTTCAAACGTATTATTCAGATCCAACCAACACTACCTGGAAAGCCGTCAGAAGACTTCATAATATTACATTTTTAGGAATATACAGCAGTATTTGCCTCGGTCCTCTTGAAGAGTGGTGTGTATGATTCATATTTAAGATTATATTCAAGAAGAACAGCTACTTTAGCATGAGCAATTTTATTTCCTTTCAACACGAACAGTAATAAAGACACAATACTTAAATAACATATTGTGTGCAAATGGATCAGTTATGGTAATTTAATGCCACATACATCACCATACATTGAGAAACAATACCGGCCAGCAATGTCCCTGTGAGGAAGAGTGGGTGTGGCGTAAGTTTGACTTGTCTTCAGTTTTTCTGCGTCTTTCTGCCCGCCACCTACTGTATCAGTCCATCTCTTCTGTCAGACGGAAATGCTCTGTTTCTCCATTTTCTCGTTTTCTCCTTCCTTTCATTCTGTCTTGTCTTTCACAGTCTGCTGAGCCTTAGACCAGATAGTGTCTCTCAGTGGCAGACTGTGTGTGTGTTTATGTACACAAAGGTACATCCCAGGTGATGGTGACATATCCTTATTTGTTTGTTTTCTCCCGCTGTGTGTGTCTTGTGCTATCTTGGAAATAAATGTGGAGGGATACATCTGCGCGGAGAAGCCTGGTCACTGAGGTGTGACGCTCCCTATCACCACCGTGCTTACATCATATACATCCACCTCAAAAACAATCATATGGATTCATAAAAGCAGCATCTGCTGTTCAATGCTAGGAAACAAATATGTTCTATTTGTATGTACATGCGTTCATCACGTCTGTACAGCTGCACACCAAAGCAGAAATCTATTACAACTATAAGGTTTTCTAATGTTGGACATTAAGCAGCCTCACAGAAAACCACAACTATAATGTAAAAGAAGGGTTTTGTTTGTTCTTACTTCCATAGGAAACTAGTTTAGCTTTAGGATTAGTTTAGACACTAGAATTTCAGTTAGAAGTTGGTTTACGAGCAGTTTGACATTTGACTTTCACTGTGGAAATTGAAAACATAAATCTGATTTTGAGTACGTTGATTGATTGAAAGTTTAATATTCAACTTCCAGAAGTGTGATATCAAAATTGTACGGCTCCAGTATACACTTAGCATGGACTTCCTACACCTGTAATATATATCTTATTGACTCTAGTACATTCATTTATATCAAATAAAAAGTATCTGCACTCTCATAGATTCATGTTTCTTCAATTAGGAAGAAGTAGATAGATTTGTCATTTAGTTGTTTTTACTTAGTAAGTGAACAAACCATATCAGACAGTAATTATCTTTCAAAGAAGACGCTTTTTATATGTCTTAAAAGATGTCAGTCAAACAAATTGAGTTTGGCCTAACTTCACACAGACTGAGACATCATGCAGATAATTGAAGCCATGCATTCAAACCACTTTCAACGCAAGTGCTTTCCTTGAAATGCTTTAGTCATTGTTTCATAGAAAAAAAGTGTCAGGCTGATATTGGCAGATACTCAAGGTTACAAAATCACTATCCTTGTCAGAATTGGAAAAAGTGTCATCAAGCCATTAGTTATAGTGGTGAGTGTGTTTGTGTGTGTGCCATCAGCTGTCCTGTTGTATTAGTGTGACCTGGCCTCAGGAGCAGCAGCAGTGCAGCGATAAAGAAACGATGTGTTGTGCGAATCTGAGTCTGGCTGCTTATGGTTCTGGGCCTGCAGGAATAACACTGACAAAAAGGCTCCGCTCAGCAGTTTGTGTGTGTTTATCTACTAGTGTGTGTGCCTGCTATGTGTGTGTTGCTCATATGTTTTCCGTATCTGCCTGCTGTGTGTGTCGACTTTTTAATGTATATGTTGCATGTGTGTAAATCAGTCTGTCCCTCAGGTGGGATGGGTTAAGGCACACTCCTGTCTTTATTAATACCCCTCTGCCTCCCCCTCCATCCTGGGCTCGGACTCCCCACGGCCCCCCCTCCCTCCTCCCCCCTCACAGGGTCTTATCTAAACTGTGGTGCTGGCAGACGGGACAGGCCACTGGCTGATAGCGATTGTTTATCCCACGGTGCGAAATTGCTGATCTGTCTTCTGCTTTTCCCTGACAGCTAGATGTTCATCTCTCTCTCTCCCTCTCCCCCCCCCCCCTACAGATACAGATATTGGCACCTATCAGTACTACGATAAAGGAGAGCCAGGTAAATAGTGTTTATATTGGATGTCTGTTTGTGTTTAAGATAAGTTGTATTTGTCTTGTTTTTGGAATGTATGTGATTTCCTTATATATGAAGAAGGGCTTTCTGCTGCCTCCCACGCTGCCATAAGCTGCAAACACACACACAGACGCACAAATTATTGCTCCTGCGCATTTTAAAGTCTTGCCACAGATACACTTGTCCACACAGAGGCTATTAGTATGTAGGATTTGCACCCTAAAGCCCTATATACACACACACATACGCACACACACACACACACACAGACACACATACGTGCAGGTTATTAGGCCTCCCTGGTTCTATCTCTTACACTCCCTGTGTTGCTGTTGACCCGGGGTCTTGCCACACAGCGATATGGAAACTAAACTGTTGACTTTCGTCTAGATCACATAGCAAGAGGCCCCATGTAGTCCGGCCTCCTATTGCCTCGGGCCTATAGGCTTCCCTTACCATCAGGAAGTGCTCACATCGCTCGGATCGCTCCCCCGCGGCCCGAGCACTGGAGGGTCAAGCTGTCTCTTAGTTTGCTTTTTTGACTTTGTGTGTAGTCGTTTTTCTTAGTGAACATGATGCATCTTGAAACATTTTGAGATTTGCACTGAGTGACCTGTGAAAGGTAGTAAATTAGACTCATCATCGGTTTGAAAGACCTTGAAAATGAAACTCGGTGGACTTCATTTGTACTGATAATCGGAAAGTCAAACATATTCAAGTAACTCTTAACTTGGCACTCTTCAATTATAGCTAAAATAATGTGTCTTCCTTTTATATATATATTAGTACATTTTTAAATAAAGTATGGGTTCAAATTTGGGTTATTACTATCTATTTTCCTTTAAAAAAAATACTAGAAATGTGTAATCTGCATCATTATCCTATTAAGGTAGTATGACAAACATATTAGCTAACAGCAGTGGCGGACTGGCCATCGGGACGTTTGGGACGAATGCTGAAGTGGGCCGGTCGGACGATGTGGGCCGGTCGGATAAGTCACTAGCACCCCCCCGTTGACAATTTACTAGTGGTACCGAAGTGGGCCGGTCGAGATGCCCGGGCTGATTTTTAGTCCCAGTCCGCCCCTGGCTAACAGGATCATGTTTCTGGACGATTCATGACTCTTGAAAACTTTTCAAACCCAAAGTCTGGCACTTATAAGGATCTACATTTTCCACTAGTTTCACCAGTTAGTCACTAACTATGTCTGTCTTCAGTTTGGTTTGTGAGTAGGAAGTGTACAAACTGTCACTGATGAGAGCATTGAAAGTGAACCAAAACAGTGAAAATGTGAGCCATAAACCAAAACAATGTGCTCAAAGACTGTCACTAAAAGCAACACTTTTCATTATCTGATCCATTCTTTAAATACAATATTGATGTGAGTTCCTTTAAGGTGTATCATGCATATCTGTAAGAGTGCATAAACCCTCTCCTGCTTTCGTTCTCTCTTCTTAAAGACATTAACATCCCTCTGTCATGTCTCTTCTTCCCCATCAACTCAATTTAAAACATGTTTTAGTGTTTCTTTCTAGTGACGTCTTCATGCTTTTGCTTTTGTCTCAAATGTCCCGCCTTTCTTTCATTCCATTCCTCTTGCCTCGTTTTTTTCTCCCACCATGTATATTTTTGTTCTTTTTCACATTGTGTACAGTATGTCTCTCCCTCTCATCATGGGGTTTTCTCCCTTCTCTCTCATCTGAGAAGCTGCCTTCTCTTTCATTGCAATCTTCAGTGGGGAGACGATGCTCTCGCTCCAAATCCTTTCATTTGGAGGATTACTAAAGTGTGGCTTGATATCAGAGTGGAGGGAGGAGAGGGGGAGGAGGAGTAGGAGGGAGAGACGGAGCAGAATCACTATCCAAAAACATTTTCACTCAGTGCTGTAACGATTGCTCAGGTCATGATAGGATTGCATATAGATTACATTCGATTAGATTACCGTTTGATATATTGAATGAAGACTTTGGCATTCATCCTGGAAATACGAACAAAAAGTATGATTACGTGTGTGCTCAAAACAAAATACTGCCCCAATATTTAGCTTCTATTACATTTCCTCTGTCATCGTTGATATTACATTGAAAGTCCCTGAAAATCTTGAGCATTTATCCAAACAACGTACTATTTCTGAACAAACAAGTAACCAGATGGGCACTCCAGAGCACCTCCGAGGCCGCCCATAAGTGGAACATACAGCGTGTTACGTGTTGTTTTTTCAGATCTGCTCTCAAATTAAATGGTTTCTTCCTCGGCCCATGCTTTACACTTCCACCGAGTTGAATGGAAAGCGGGCCAGCAGTTTACCGTAAACCTGCTGACAGACAGACAAACAGTAACAAACCCTATATTCGCATTTCTCATCACTTTCTTTGATTCACAATAGTTTTTAAAATATTTCTATATTGGCTCTTATTTTACATTTTTATTTTCTTTTACTGTGGTATTTATTCACCTTCCTACATAAGAGCAGATTCCTTTTTGAGGCAATAACCAAACTCTGATCCTGATGTCATTCCCTCAAATGTTAGTTCCCCCCTCTCCCCACTAGAGGTAGACCCAGGCTCATTGGAGCAGCTCTGAGGGTCGCCTGCAGCCAAGCCCCCCCCCCACCCCCCGCCCCAGCCCCAGAGCAGGTGCCCATGTCTGGGCCTGTCTGGCCCCTCACCCCCCTTATCTGATTAATACTACTAATCCTGGAGGTGTTCTGCCTGCCAGCGGCCGGCCACCACACCGTCACCGGCCACGAGGCACGGTTACCCGGCGGCACTTTGCCAACAAGGGGTCTCTCAAAGCTAAAGGGGGATGTTTGAGCTGCAGCTTAGTTTCTCTGTTCCTCATTATCCACATCACATAATCATTTATCATGACCACATGTTTAGGGTCTTTCTTTGTTTGAGATATTTTCTTTTATGACTAGTAGAGTCAATCAGTGTTTAAAACCTAATCAAACAAAACAATATAACTCAAACTAACAGCACAATGGTTTAGGCTTATTAAAAAGTAATGTCATTTAGTTTTTCATGGTTAATGCACTTATTATAAGTTGCTTTGGATAAAAGCGTCAGCTAAATTAATTGTTATACAAACAAATCTGTGTTTTTCTGTAGAAAACCCGGGGGCTATACAATATCTGATGCTTTTTTACCTGAAATCTATTATACGGTTTGATAACTTAGTTCATCAATTCCAAAGCCCCATCAAGTGTAACTTATTAAAATACAAAAAATGTCATGCATCACTTTAAACCAGTCTGCTAGTGGCTTCTTATTTTCCTTTTACTGGGAACCACTGATATTTGTACACTTTGTAATAGCTAAGAAGCTTGTATGTCTTCCCTTACCCTATGGCTATCTCTGGTTTTTTCCACAGTACACCATGTTATTCCAATAATTCCATATGCTGTTTATCTTCCAAATCCAGCCCTCTAATTGGCCTTTTTTATTATTGTCTTCCAGTTAATCCCCTGGAGCATCACTACTACAATGAGAAACTCCATTTCTGTGAAGGTAAGTGCCCAACAGAGGAACTCAAGGAGTGATTTAAACAACGTCATCTTCATATCAATGTGTTTGAGCCCTGACCATCTCACCAGTGGATGACCATCTTCCAGAAATCACTGTCCTACTTCCTCTTTCTCTCCCTCTCTCCCCTCACTCTCTCTGCGTTTCACCCAGTAGTGGAATACAAACACTCTTATCAGGAGACGAACACTCATCCCCTCCCTCCTCTCTCCCCTGACCCCCCCCCCCCCACCCCACCCTCATTTGCATGCATCTGTTTACCTCCTCTTCCCACTCATTCTTATTAGAGAATCCCGCTTCTTTTAATAGTTTGTTTCAGTTAAGATGAAAAGGGGACCGTGTTAAATTAAGGGCTCCATGTTGGAAACAGCAGTCTTGCCTTTCCATTTTTCTCTCACTGAACTTCATGTATGTGCGTGGGCAGAAGCAGATGCACAAATTCAATTAGCTGTTTCTTTATATCCTCTGTTTAACCGCTAGAGATGGAGGGGGAAAGGGAGGGCTGGGAAATTAAAACGAAGGGGCCTTGGTGTTGTACGTGTTGAGATATGTGCTGCTGACTGTGAGGTTGCATTTGGGAGATAACTCAACTCAAGAGCGCCAAAGTCCTCACGATTAAATATTTGCTTCTCCTCGAGGACCACTGTGTGTGTTTTTGAAGGGACATTTTGCTTTCAGTTGAATATTTTCCCTCCTTAAGTGCAGCTGCATCAATCTGTAAGCAGCAGATTTCAGACTTTCGCTGCTTTGGGGATATGGTAGTCAGATAATACTGTATAAGCTACAAATCTCTGTAGTTTCTATATGGTGAAGCAATGGTTTTTACATAAAGTTTTAAAATGTAAGTAAATGAGTGACATAGCTACTGTACTTGGGGATCCAATATGTTGCTGTCAAAAACTCACAAGTGATCTCTACTACCTTATTCTGACGAACAAGATATGTGACGTTTTATTCATTTAATTGAATATGCTTGATTACAATTAATCTATTTAAAGGGGACCTATCATGCAAAATGCACTTTTTGATGTCTTTTTATACATAAATATGTGTCCCCGGTGTGTCAGGGAACTCACGCAGCGTCAGAAAATAAAACCCTCTCTTTTCCTCCGTTACCCAAATCTCTAAAAACGGGGCTACAAACGGAGCTGATCCAGATTTGCGTCCGATATGACGTAATATCTGAAATGTGGATCCACGGCCCAATCAGAAACGTTGCTATCAGAAACAATGCCTGACTGTTTTGGACGTAATATGGTCTGTGTTTACATTAGCATCGCTAACCCTCAGAGCTAACCTGTACTGGAGAGCATGTGTGTGAAGAAGCAGGAAGTAAAAAGGAACTCACCTTGTGGTATAACCGGCAAGAGAGAAAGCCTTTGAGCTCCATACTGTTTCAGAGATAATCCTTGGTAATCCATGATATGGCGTTTCATCACGGCAGCATTTAGTTTAGACAGTAGTTGCTGGGTCCCGCATGAGCTCAGACCCCTCATTTTTATTTTTAAAGCTTTATACCCCAAATCAGCACTTTTGAGACAGGAAGTGAAATAGAGGGATATGAGGCATGGCTAGAATGGGTGCTCTGTTTGGTATTTTGAGCAAAACACTTCATAGACATGTTTTTTATATATTTTATATATCTGAGACCTATGCTATTGCCTAAAAATAGCATGATAGGTGACCTTTAATATCTAGGAGGTGCTCTTGTTCTTTAGTAGCCTGTTGGTTTTAATCAAGGTTTTTTTCTCAGAAACACAGGGTGCATCTTTTGGAAATCTTATATTGCCATCTGGAAAATTCCTCATTTGGGTTTTTTACTTTTGCCGTTTGTTGGATCCTTTACTTGTTACCCTCAAAATAAATCACATTTTTGATCATTTTAAACTAAAGTTGTAGTCAGTCTTGAATGATCTGGTGCGTGTCGTCAAGTCGTATATGATTGTTTTATTGTATCAATGTGTCTTTTCTTCAGTTTTTGTATGTATTTTCTTGTTCAGTTCCATATGTTTTTAAAGGCCCATCCATGGACAGGCATTACAGAGTAGTCTATCAAGCTGTGATATGTAATCTTCAACTAAATAAATATACTCTTGTCTAGTCAATTTAATATAGGAGGATTACATATGCATTAACGGATACCAATGGTGCAAATATGTTTTTTTTTATTATTTAATTATCTTTCAATGAAGTCTATAAAATGGCAGATCATTGGTGAAAAAAGGGTCAATTGCAATGATCCAAAGCTCAAAGGGACATCTTCAAGTTGCATGTTTTGTCCTATCAACAGTCCAAAACCAAAAAGGTAACTATTTGACCTAAATATGACGACAGAGAAGACCAGAAAATCATCACATTTGAGAAGCTAGACTCAGAAAACGTTTTATTTTATTGATAAAAATGATGTGAACGTTTCAACTCAGGTTCGATAAATTGTGCAGACATTGCTCTGTATGCATCCAACAGATTCAGCATTGCATTGTGGGATGCCTGCTTCATGTACCTGCATCTCTTTATTCCGCCTGATTGCTTGTCATCACCCTTTATTCCTCATGTCCCCTCCTTTTCATACATAGATCTCGAGTTTAACCCCTTTACCCTTTCTGGTTGTTGGTGCCACATTCTTCTGAATCCCCATGAGGGCCTTTCTTAAAAATATATACATTTCTCCCGTGTCTAAAAAAAGTTCGAGTCACATGATCTTCAATTCTTCTCGTGTTTTTCCTCCGTAGCTCGCGGCTATTCGTGGACCCCCAGCTAACCGGCCAGACCGGAGAAGCTACGCGATTCGCTGAAGGAGTTGGAGGTGGCCCGCCCCCCCCCTTTGTTAAACCCTCCGTCCCCCCCCTTGTCTTCTTCCTCCTCTGGGGAGTTTCTGAGTTTTCCCTTTCCGAAACCGGCCGATTGATTAACAAATAGGGGCATTCTCTCTCTTCTCTCCCCCGTTTCTTCTCCCCTCTCCCTCTTCTCTCTCATCACCTCTCTTTCGGCCGAGCTCTGTCATCGAGGGGGATATTTGAGGGGATCAGGGGGCTGCAGACTCTTTCCTTCCTTCCCTTCCTTCCCTTCCTCCCCCCCCCCTCCTCTGTACTTGTGGCAGCACAGACCTAGCTTTGTTTGCTGGAACCTGTCTGTGGCTGTTACACACACTCCCCACCTCCCTCCTATCACCCGTAACCATTGTCTGAAACGAGAAACACCCCATCTCACCTCCACACCTCCTCCTCTCCTCCTCCTCCCCCTCCGTCCCTCTCTCCTCCCATCCAATCACCCCAGCTGGGTTTGGAATGTGGCAGGAATGACTGACCTTACACACATTCACAAAACACACACACACACGCTGGCATGCACACAAGAAGTCCTTACCTGCATCCTCTTTCAACTCTCTCCCACCCCTCCCTGAGCAGGAAGTGCTGCAGGGACACCTGTGGTGAGTAGGGTCCGGTGCTGTGTACCAGCAGGATAATTAATGCAAGTATGGGCGGTCACAAAGAGAGGGAAGCCGCAGTGGAATTGTTAGCGGCCAGAGTTCATCTGTTTTCAAACTTCATTAAGAGGCAAAATAAGAAACCACGTTTCAAAATCTCGTTATTAGTTTTTATGGGCACAGAATGACACTCTAAATATAAAGCACAGACAAGGAGCTTTACATACTATCAGCAACCAACAAACAAAACAGAAAAAAGAAAATAGAACACAGCCCAAATAATATCAAGTGTCTTCATTCTCATCAATCATGTTGTAGAACCGATAAGGCTCCAGGGGAAGTCGTAAAAAAGGTTTTCGCAGATTTTTTGTCAAAACGCTAATCCAGTTTGTTTTTAAGGAACAAACGTATCGCTTTCAAGAGTCAAGGTAGAAAGTCAATCATCCTTTCAAGCCATTGGGGGAGAAAGGTGCCACAAGGTTAGAAACCACTCTTTCTGGTTTAGTTCTAACGTGACACAAGGGTCGGACTGGCGCAGTTGGGAATACGTGGGGGCCGGTGCTGTGTGTGGGGGCGGAGGGCCAAAACAAAAAAAAAAGAGTTTATAAGAAATATATAATATATTTCTTTTTTTTTTGGCCTAAATCCTACCGGCCCACATTTGTAAGTGTTCCGGCCGAGCCCAGCCCAGGGTGGGTGTGGCCAGGGTTGGGGTTGTAACGGAATACTGTATTCAGCTCGCGTTACATATTGAAAAAACTAGTAATCTGATTACAGTTACTTTCGTAAACCTGAAGTGAATACATTTTGGATTACTTATTGGAGATTATTGGTGGAAAGATTTCCTCACAACATTTAATATCCATATAACTAAAGTACAGCCGAATCATCACAGCGCACAAAACCTATTACCCCAGGCCGCAGATGGACCAAAAAGGGGAGCGTGTGAAAAAAATGTGCGGGTCCGCTCAGTGAAACAATAACAACGGAAACATTGAGGAACAAAAAGTCTGCGTTTAAAATCGTGTGTGTGTGTGTGTGTGTGTGTGTGTGGTGTGTGTGTGTGTGTGTGTGTGTGTGTGTGTGTGTGTGTGTGTGTGTGTGTGTGTGTGTGTGTGTGTGTGTGTGTGTGTGTGTGTGTGTGTGTGTGTGTGTGTGTGTGTGTGTGTGTGTGTGTGTGTGTGTGTGTGTGTGTGTGTGTGTGTGTGTGTGTGTGTGTGTGTGTGTGTGTGTGTGTGTGTGTGTGTGTGTGTGTGTGTGTGTGTGTGTGTGTGTGTGTGTGTGTGTGTGTGTGTGTGTGTGTGTGTGTGTGTGTGTGTGTGTGTGTGTGGTTAAACACATCAGCCACACCGCTCTTTAGCCTTTCTAATGATTCTGAAGGTAAACACAGTGAAGGCGGTGCGTGAAAGGCACTGCGCGCTCCTCTTCTCAGAGGCTGAGTTAACCCTCCCGCTGCCTCCTGGTGCTGCAGAGATTTCATGAAGTGAAGGAGGTTTTCCTTCTATAAAACAGCTGCGGGCAGCAGATACTGTGAGAGTCACAGACATGAATACATAGATCAAGGCAGACTGGTGCACACACTCTCCTGTTTTGCCAATCCGGTGCTTAAACAAATAGCTCTACACCCCTGGCCGAAATGTCCTTAAAATGAAGTCCGAGTTCGACATTTTAATTAATGTCCTGCCAACACTGGCAGGACAGAAGGCGACACGCCCTTTCTAAGCCATGTCCTCACATCCCAAGCTGCATCCCCAAAAATGTATTATGTTGTTACAACAGGGTTCAGGGGGAGTGGTACGTGTACGCTGTACCCGTAGGATAGAAAAGGGGGAAGTGATGTCTGACTCAGAGGTCGCGCGGCTGTGGAGAAGAACGTGTTGCCCACATTCTGTTACTGAGTTTAGGCTAGTTAGCTAGCAGGTTTATTGTTTTGGGTGCAGTCACTTTTGCCTCCACTTGCTGTTGAAAGAAAAAGTTAATCTGTTTACAGTTCTGTTTTATATGGGTGTTGAAGAAGAATTGGGAGGGATGAAACCCTCTTTAATGGTCACACATGCAGAGCACACAGTGAAATGTGTTCTCTGCTTTTAACCCATCCTAGTACCAGGAGTCTAGCACTAGGAGCAGTGGGCAGCTATTGTACAGCGCCCGGAGGGCAATGGGAGTGAGGGGGGAAGGGGGATGTCCGGTGCCTTGCTCAAGGGCACCACGGCAGGAGGTGAACTGGGACCTCTCCAAGTAGAAGTCCACACTCCAAATAGGTCTGGTCGGGGACTTGAACCGGTCACAGTCCAAGCCCCTACTGACTGCCATAGATTTAGTCCCTAATTTTGCTCTCAAAATGGACCAGATTGATGCATTTAACTTCCGGGGGAGCCTGCCCCCGGACCCCCCTAGAGGAGGTGAGGTCCACCACCTGCCCACACCCCCTGTTAAATTGTCTCACCCACATTGAGGATGCTTCCTACGCCCATGTTTTATTCCATGTGTCAAGTCAGGCAAATTGGGTCCAAATGTTATTGCATCAATGATCTGTTAACATTAAAATCACTAAATATATGCCGTAACTATTTTGCTCTAGGCAACTCAAGGGCTCAGGTAATGTGATTACTATATGAATAATTGTCCAAAATAACATAAAATGCATAGGGTTTTTTGTTAAGTAACATACTTTCGTCGCCGGCTGGCCGATACATGCCGCGCATTAAGTGGGCCTGTCTGTCAATTAATCCCCGGGCCACTTTTTCCCCCCAGTCCGCCCCTGCGTGACATATACATTTTCTACCTGGTTAAACAATTCTATATTGCGCCAGGTCTGTGTGTCTGAACCAAGCGGCAAACTCTGGGGAACAGCCGGGACGCCAATACGGAAGTGCCACACACTGCAGTTCATACATGGGCCGCTAGGGACTGGCTGCAGAAAGGAGCAATTTCCATAGACCCCCATGTTAAAATGCCCAACTTTACAGCAGAAAAAACATGTTTCTACCCATGGATGCAATAAATATTATTATCGATATAGTTAGATTCCACCTTCATGATTATGAATCTGTGAGTGAATTGTTTTCTAACACGACCCTTTTATTTATATTAGGTCTTAACGTTTTGCATAAATGAGGGCGTGGTCACTTTGATGGACATGTACATGCCTCACTGTCAGCTAACAGCAACTTGTCCATTCTGCTAGGCTACAACCATAGAGGCTACAACGTTAGTTAGTCATAGTACTGTACTTGACCCTTTAGCTTTAGCCGTGTTCGTGGTGATTGTGCCTTTTAGGGAATATTGTTACAAATACCAGACAATTAAAATGTCGTGCTGTGCGCTTGAATGTACTAACAGAACTTCCAAGAAGTCTAAAATGATAATATTATACATGTTAACCCCGTTCGCAGGTGTTTGTGTGCTTGGTAGCTTAGCTTGTTACTTATTAGCCAGCTAAGGACGTAACCCTTTATGCATACATATACATTTTAGTTTATGATTCAGCCTTGGGTAAGACTTTTATAGTCTATGGCTATGACGCCCATAATGCTAAACGGGAGCAAATGTTAATAGGGGACCCAATTATCCCAGTGGTGGCCGCCGGAGCTAACGGAGCAGCAGGGGGCTAGCTCCAGCCGGCGTCCCGGAGCTAGCCCACTGCGGCTCCGTTAGGTCCGGGCGGTGGAGTCCGTCTTTTCTCAACGTGTGAATGACAAGCATTAAGAATAACAAAATATAGCTAATTCTCTTGCAGGTTGTCTCATTTGATTATGAATGTAACGTTTATATAGGGGAACTACACTGTTAGCAGTAACTTGGTATGCATGTATTTCATGTTAGCTTAGCTTCTTAGCCTGAGCTAGCTCTGTTTACTTCCAGTTCGGAGGCAGCAGGTCCCGCCTCGGCTCCGCCTCTTTGCCCCTTGGAGCAGGCGGGATTAGACTCTGACGTCACAGTCGAGCCGTTAGTGGCCGACTCCGCCTACTAAGGGCTTCACGGCAACTCTGCAGAATCCTATGGGTGACGTCACGGACACTACGTCCATTTATATATACAGTCTATGGTCTGAAACTACTGGTTGCATTTGTTGTTTGGACCCCGGTTCACTTTCTTCTTGGTATTTCTCTCTGTTTATCTGTTG